CGATTCATAGCAACAGTACAGTCAATTTTATAATGGTTACATAAGGAGATAACTCCCTTTTTTGTCAAGTTCAAACAAGTGGGTTTCCTGAACCTGAGATGTATGCATAGAATGGGTGAAACATGTTCATGATAACCATATATGCATGTTGGGCAATGAATATTCCTTGCAGGAACCATGTTTTTTCAGTCCTGCCCGAATCTCTGACGGATGCAGGATGAAAGAAGCCCGACTTGCATTCAGTTTTTTGGGTCAATTTTTCCTTTCTATTTGGAAGTGAATTTATTCAAAGTGGCCATGATTATCTTGCCTAAGCCACCGTCAAGACATGGCCTGTTTAGAGATTTCGGCTCTGAGACAGAATAAGTCATAGATACGTAAGAACCTTTCAGTGTCACGCCCATCGGAATCGTCGTTTGTCCTGTTTCACACGTGTAGACTAAAAGTTATGGACCTAACGACATTAAAATATGATGTTGATACTATTTGGCCCGAGAATAAATATAATCCAGTAACCAACTTTTACTCCTATATTTTACTAGTGGCATTTGCATTAGCCTCTACTTCATTTATTTTGGTAGAATTTGTGGTATCAGCAAGACTACGTGCTATAGCATTTTATGTTCTTTCGTCCTCCATTACCGTCTTTCTATCAACAGCCTTGAGCGCCTTGTCAGCAAGGCGCGTGGTGTGTTAGACGTATTCGAGCCACTGATGGGTCGAATCGAGATCAAGGGCTTGAGCGGGCGAATTGAACGTGTATACTTCGAGATAAAACAGCAGCACATTGACCAGTGGGAAGCGCCACAGATTAAAGAATCGAAACGAACTTTCCTGCACGCCGCAGTAGGTGAAACAGATGATAAAGAGAAGCTGGAGATCTTCGTCAACTTTTGTGAGGATACCATCTTCGAGATGCAGCACGCCCAGGAGATCAGCGGCGACGCAGAAACCCTTTCCATCACCAGGGTGAGCTAAATTCTGTTCCTCATTATTTCATAACTCTTATATCCTCTTTGCCCTTTATAGATCCTCAGTTTTATTCTCCTCTTCTTGTTATTTCGTACTTTGGTGTCCTAAATTCATCCCTTTTAGCTTT